TAAAAAAACCATCGTTGTTTACCAAACATCGTTCCCAAAAGTAATAATCACAAATCAGAGTGTCCCAAAATACAATATCATAAAACCGGAAGGATGTGCACGATCATGCCTTTGCTTTCCCACGATCATCTGAAGTACCTGAAACATAAAACCTAAATTGTAAGCCAAAGCTTAGTGAGTTCCCTCAAAGTACCACACACAACCAAAACAGATAACAACATGCATCTATGAGCCTTCAGCCTGACTGGACCGCCTCGTAGGGCCTACAACCTATCTGGACCGCTCTCCAAGCCTTCAGCCTAACTGGACCACCTCGTAGGCCTTCAATATATCCGGACTGCCTCGGGTGTCTTGGCCTTCAGCACAAATCAGGACTGCCTCAACCCAACAATACATAACATGTCGACATATACAATAACAATAAATAACCAACAATATAGGTAATCATACAGATCTACCAATCTAACACATACTCAGCAACACAAGTAATAATGAATATCTACTAATCTAGCAAATACTCAACATAACAGCAATCCAATATATCATGATATGAAATTTAGTGGGCCGACCTTGGTGCCTTCGAACCATAAGTACAGTGAGGAAAACTCACCCCATAGTCAGAAAAGATAGTTGAATAGATCACAACTTCAACTGTTGACTCCACACCAACACGTCGTGTTTTAGGATAAACACACCGTGTTTTTCTTCAATTCTATCTTCTTTCTTCAAAATCCAAAATCCAAGCTTCCAATTGCCAAATCTACTTCCTTTTCCCTCCGAGCATGTCTCTGTTGCTGAAATGAAATTTTAAACTAATTAAGTACCTTTTGTTCAATATTTGAAACAAAAACAACATAAAGTATTAAGATAATGCATGGATTTTATAACTAAATATGCCCATATCAGTAAACCAACCATTCTTAGGCTATAGAATCTTAGTTATGTACAAGTATGATGCACACACTAAGCAACTACATAAATGATGTCAATTGCATCTAGCATACAAGAAGTCCTCCTAGGCTATTAGGCATCATACATCAGGAAATTCAATCACGCAATTCCTGAAGATTCCTAGCCTACCACTATCATGCAGTTCTATCATAACATCATAACAAAATAACAATGTGGGTATCTTGGGGCACACTTTCTTGCTCCGCCTGATCGTACAGATCTCATCCTTCTTTGGTTACCCTTAAAAATAATTTTGAAAACTATTACAAATCCTTAGTTTGAGTCTGGATTCACACGAATGCTCATCCAATTTGCTCAAACCAAGGCTCTAATACCAACATGTGACATCCCAAAAATCAAGGTATAATTTTCATTTTTAAAACCAAATAAAAAACCATAGTTGTTTACAAAACATTGTTCCGAAAAGTAATAATCACAAATCAGAGTGCCCAAAATCCAATATCATAAAACCAGAAGGATGTGCACGATCACACCTTTGCTTTCCCACGATCATCTGAAGTACCTGAAACGTAAAACTTAAACTGTAAGCCAAAGCTTAGTGAGTTCCCCAAAAGTACCACACACAACCAAAATACATATTTATGCATATATATAATCCTTTAGCCTGACTGGACCGCCTCGTAGGGCCTACAACCTATCGGGACCGCTCTCCGGGCCTTCGGCCATACTGGATCGCCTCGCAGGCCTTCAGTCTATCTGGACCGCCCCGGATGTCTTGGCCTTCAACACAAAGCAGGACCGCCTCAACCCAACAAACCATAACATGTCAACATATACAATAAAAATCAATAATCAACAATATAGGTAATCATATAGATCTACCAATCTAACACATACTCAGCAACACAAGTAATCATGCAAATATACTAATCTAGCACATACTCAGCATAACAACAATCTAATATACCAGGATACGAAATCCAGTAGGTCGGCCTTGGTGCCTTCGCCTCACAAGTACAATGAGGAAAACTCATATCACAGTTCAAAAAGATAATTGAACAGATCACATCTCCGACTGCTGTCTCTACAGGTAACCTATACAACAAACAATGACCTAGTCTCAAACTACTACCCAAAATAACCATAGGTCAAATTCAAAGGTCAGAAGTCAAAGAAGTCAACTTCAGATTGAGTACGCCCAGCGTACTCAACATGTACGCATGGGGTACTCACCCTTGCAGAAACGAGATTCCAAAGGAGTACGCCCAACGTACTCCACCAGATAGCAATCTTCTTATTAACTTCTTTTTCTCTTAAGTCTGTTCGTCCAAAGGCCAGATCTAGTCCTAAATAACGTTCTAAATCATAATGTTTATAACTTTATGATCTTGCATGGCTATTAAGTACCCAACACCAAAACACTAACCTATCACAATGTTCTAAGCCACCAAAAAGCATGCATGGAGTGATGTGAACGATCAAGATCCCATTTTATAACTCTAGACACTCTAAAATGTCCAAAAGGACAACTCATTTGGTCTAGAGTAGTTCATACTCACTTAGACCAAGAATATGGGACTAAAATGCACAAAACTCCATATCTAACAAGATCTAATGAGATAATAAACAAGTTCAAAACTTTATACCTTCTGGAGGTTGCTTAAGGAGTATAAAACTCATATCTCAAAGCTTGGAGTTCCTTCCTTCCTTTCCAATGGCTTCCTTCTTTCCATAATGGACACCAAACACCAAAAATGAGCTCAAAACACCACCAATGGAGATTGGGGTTTGTAAGGGGCGAAGTGGGCAATAGAGGCTGATAAGGGGAAGAGGTATTGAGAGTTAATGATGCTTAAATATGTCTCTAACCCTAACAATTAGGGTTTGGGTTTTTGTCACATACACCTAGCGTACCTAAGTGTACGCCCAACATACTTCAAAAGAACGTGTCCCGCAATTAAAGAAGCCATGGACCAAAATGCAAGAAAATCTTATTTCTAGGGTCAAAAATGTAAATTACCTAAGTGATGAATGTTACGGTTCATCTATGCTAAATGAAAGTTAGGGTATTTATCCCTTAACTAACTTAGAAACACAATAAAAAACAAAGTAAACTAGAACATACATGATTTAAACTAGCAAACCAAATGATTTCTTGTGTTCTTCGTGTAGATCTCTTTGAATACTTGATATCCAATCGACTCCTTGCCTTTTAAGGGTTTCTCAGAAGGTATTAATCACAGGTAGCAACAACACTCTCCCAATATTCGACCTAAAAGTCGACATATTTATATATATATATATATATATATATATATATATATATATATATATATATATATATAGTTGCCTTAAATGGGTCGCCATGCCGTGGAAAACAAACATCCACGCCATATGATACAGTTTATACGTGTGGGCTTCAAGTCTTTGTAGATTCATCGGGAAGCTTCTACGTTGCCACGTCGTGGACCAGAAACTTTCATGTCGTGGAATCTTCTTTATGCACAATTCTTCTTCTCTTTTCCTCTTTACGCAGGCTTCAACCTCTAACTTTCGAACTTTGTCCATTTTTAGTCATTTTCCTTGAGAATGTCCTTCTTTAGATACAAAATAGATTTTATACTAATTAAGCATCAAAGATCTTTGTGATTAACCAAAATAAAGCTAAAATGTACTTAAATAATGTGTGTGTATATATATATATATATATATATATATATATATATATACAATATCACATACCAATATCGTTTAAACGATATTAATTAATTGAACTAGGATGGATTGAATACAAATATAAGTACCTTCATATTATATTACCTATGCAGTTAGTCATGGTTATTATGCGTGATACTTGTGGTTAGTTTTGTTAGTTTTATTTAGTGGTTTTGAATGACACTTATTTCCCTTTATATGCTTTCTTTTGAGATTGATTAATAAGAAGATACTAATATATTAGTACATTTTTGTTTGATATGTGTTCGAGACCATTACTTATTTAAACTATATTGTCATATTGATAAGTTCCACTGCCTAGTGTAGATAGTCAGTTTGGTTTGTTAGGATTTATAAATATAAAACTAGATTTTTATTTTTAAGTCTATATTTGATGCGGTTATCAAAACTTTTAGCATCATTATTAAATGAAATGATTTTCAAGTATATTTTATATATTATCAATTACACGTCACCTTCTTTATGAGGTTACTACAAAATTGTAACTATTATCAACTTAATGCTCATTCTAATGTAGATATGTGGTCATTGAGATTTTGCATGGGATGTGAGTTGATAATAATGATAAAAAAGGTTTGCATGAATGAAATAGTAAATTGAAGGTGATTATCATCGATGGTGGGTGTGCAAATTGCGACTGTGGGTTGGAGAGTGGTTTCAAGATAAATGGAAAATAGGTTTTCTTTTACATAGTTGAAAAAAAAATTATGTTATGATGTTAAATTGTTAATTATAATTTCTGATGAATGGTGGTTAAGGAAATTTAGAAGATTGCTTAATGTAATCTTGGGTATGTGGTTTTTGTATGTTCTTAAGAAGGAAGAGGTTAGGATAGGATGAGATTGAGTTGTTAAGACGGAAGAGGCTAGGATAGGAGGAGATTGATCTGAGAGCGATAAGATGATGTATTTTTTAGGCATCAACAATGTTTGTTTATGTTTATTTATTTATTTATTTATTTTTTCCATCCATAGCTTGGGTCGGCCATAGGTTCATAAGAGAGATGACAAATTTTAAAAAAGATGGGGAACAAAATGATAAAAATACCTCGTATGACTTGCATATAAGGGGATCCTAATAGCTTATAGAAAACATAATAGGAGGGACCAAATGTACTAATTTAGTTTGGATCAAAGATCAAACTTGCAACAAACGTCAAATTCTTATTTATTTATATATATATATATATATATATATATATATATATATTAAAGATGACCAACTCATTGAATAGTAAATATGCATGTCTTTCGGCAAAAATTACCTATAGGTTTTCATATTTTTGAGTGGTTCAGATTTTTGGCACTAAAGTTTGTGGTATTGGCAATTTGGTCCTTAGTGTAAGGATAAGGATGGGGCTGTTACGTGTCGTTCCCACGTCTCCCCCACCGGTTCTGCCTTTATCTTCCCCCACCCGCTTTCTAATCACCCATTCAACATCCGATTTGTGTTATTTGCCCACCGCCTCACACCGATGCGTAGTCGGCTCCCAACTTCGACTGCAGATGGTTTCCCGGTCAAGGCGCTTCTTCTCCACCTTTTGTACTTCTCTCTCCTCCTACGACCTCCTTGCACCTCCTCAGTCCCACCGGTCCGATTGTGGAGTTGCCATACGCTGTTTGCCTCGGCTCTCGTGATAGAAGGTCACATCGAAACCGGACCTGTAGATGGCACCGACGTCTGCTTTGGTTCCCGTTCCCTCTCGCTTTCTTCTCTATTCGGTTATGGTTCTATAGATTTCATTCGATTGACCGGTTTTGCTAATTGCAGCTTTCTTTACCTCTTCATGACTTTATGTTGGAATGCAGGTATGAGCGCTATATATTTGCACTTGAAGAAGCTTCTACAGATGTACTAGCTACACTTAAGGATAAAGCATTGAAGGTTTGTTTAATTTTATGTGTGTGTTCTTTACAAAAGTTGATTAGTAACATACTATATGATAACATTAACATAATGAATTTCTTTCTCTATAATCCCTATTAGGGCCCGATTTTGGGTTCATCAAACATTTACCGGCTAGGTATCGATGCCCCTTCTTGCATCTTTGTTTTCTCAATTTCAGAAGTTAGGATTTACTTTTGGGTTTATGATGTGATTTCAGGTGTTAGCTTAATTTTATCAGTTTCTGCAAACGTGATTCAATGCTTTCTCTTCGATTTTCTCTTCCTATCAGAATCTGAAACCGATTGTCAACCCCAAATCAAAGCTGAAGGTTAGGGCTTTTTCTTTTGCTGGATTATGGCTTAATCTTCTTACAAAGTTATCAAACGTTTCAATTTCAGGTCATTCTGATATCTTATGCTTTTTTTTTTCCAGTAACAATCAGGCTCAAGAATTAATGTATTAAATGTGAATACAAAAAATTATATCATTGAAGTTTTAATTTAATTTAATGAAGAAAGCCATTTTAGTACGTTTACAAAGTTTTTAAATTTCACCCTTTTGATTCGTTTGGGTGTAAAGTATACTAAATTGATTTCTTATTAAGAAAACGAGTTGAATTTGTTAATTATTATATTGGATTGCTGCTGTTTACACAAAAAGGTAATGTTTTTTTAACCACATTCATCACAAGTATATCAATTAATATATCTTTAAACTCATTATTATGTAGGAAATTGGAGAAAGAATTATCAGGGGGAAAATCCCATTTTGTGGAATCATGTGGTTTGCCAATAAGCACATATTTTAGTGCACTGAAGCTCATATGGCTGCTGGAAAATGTGGATGCTGTGAAAGCAGCAGTTGAGAAAGGAGATGCACTTTTTGGAACCATTGATTCCTGGTTAATCTGGAATTTAACTGGAGGCATTGATAATGTCATACATGTCACTGATGTCTCTAATGCATCAAGAACCATGCTCATGAATCTGAAAACACTTGATTGGGATGAATCAACTTTGAAAACATTAAAGATCCCTAAAGCCATTCTACCAAAAATTGTAAGCCATGCCGAGGTAATCGGTCACGTAGGAAAGGAATGGCTGATTCCCGGAATCCCTATTTCCGGTTGTTTAGGGGATCAACACGCTGCAATGTTCGGTCAATCTTGTAGGAAAGGAGAGGCAAAAAGCACTTATGGGACAGGTGCTTTTATACTTCTTAACACAGGTGAAGAAGTGATTCCATCAAAACATGGTTTGTTAACCACTTTAGCTTTCAAACTCGGGAAAGATGCCCCTGCAAACTATGCTCTAGAGGGCTCAATTGCAATTGATGGAGCAGCTGTTCAATGGCTGAGGGACAGTCTTGGAATTATTCGTTCCGCTAGTGAAATCGAGGAGTTGGCTTCACAGGTTGAGTCAACTGGTGGGGTCTACTTTGTTCCAGCTTTCAATGGGCTTTTTGCACCATGGTGGCGTGATGATGCATGTGGTGTTTGTATTGGGATCACAAGGTTTACAAACAAGTCTCATATTGCTAGAGCTGTTCTTGAAAGTATGTGTTTTCAGGTGAAAGATGTGTTGGATTCAATGCATAAAGATGCTGGTGAGGAAGGTGAAACGAAAAACGAAAAGGGACAGTTTTTTACTTAGGGTAGATGGATGGGGTACTGTGAATAATACCCTTATGCAAATTCAGGTTTGTTCTTGATTTTTACTAATTTTGTGATTAGTTTTTTTTTTGTTAGATTGTGTGATTAAAAGTGAAATTGCAGGCGGATTTATTGGGTAGCCCAGTGGTGAGACCAGCAGATATAGAGACAACATCACTTGGTGCAGCTGGTTTAGCAGTTGGAGTTTGGACAGAAGAAGAGATATTTGCAAATGGGGAGAGAATGAAGAAAGATACCACTTTCAATCCTGTGTTAGATGAGAGCTCACGGATTCCAGCTTAGTCCAAAGTAGTTGGAATTCAAGATTTTATTGTATGATATGTTTGGTTACCAAAATTATTCAAACTTGGGAACCAAACATGTCACTTTTCCAATTCAATGCAGAAATAGACATGCAATAGATGGTTGCCCAAATGTATAGAATTCAATTGCCAAAAGGTATACATCTCAATTGTCAGTTGTTTGAAACTTGAGAAATTTCTATCCTGTTTTTGCTCATCATGATTTTTTCTTGTGTAATATGCGACAGGTACCAGATGGTTATTCCCATGTATGGCACCCATAAATTTGTGATGTCAAACACCTGGTGGCTGGATCACTTTAATACATTGTGGAGCATATATCTATAATTCATTCCATTCACTTTGTGAGATTTAACTGCAAATTGTGAATATAGTCATCGCCTTCAATTAGATTACAAGTTTTTTCCTTGATGTTAGGTATATTTATGAATCATTTTTAGGGTATCGATCTGTGTTGTTATCGTTAACAGTTTTGTGACTAAACTACCCCTATGTAAAGTTATTTTGTTCATATTTCAATTTTGCTGAAAGACCTGTAGCATCTGACCCCCGCAACGCGGGGGTTCCCCCACCTAGTTTAAACTAAAGTTGTTACAGTCGATTTGGTGAGTAGATATGCACAAAAATAATCAGGCCTTTAACCAATCCAAGGGCCAAAACAAGATTTCATATTTAGTCCTCTTGTAATTGGTTATGGGCCTTAAATGCGCTCGGACAAAAACTTCATAAATTATGTAACCGGGCCTTTATAACCACCGACTATATGACACTAGCTGTAATTTTTTAGATACGATCTAATATATATATATTTATAAAAGAGATATTTTTACTTGTTCCACATCTATTTGAAATTTTTCATGGCTTTTTTAATTTCTTTCTAATAATTAATATAAATTGGTTAATAATGTTAAATTGATATAAAAACAAAATTCTAATTTACTAAAGTATAATATTAAAATATCGTATTTTACTTCTGTTTACAAAATTATGACTTTAATTTTTTAACATATTATAATTAACTTATTAATTTAAATATATTGTCGTATGTAAGCAATTGTCATTTTAAAGTCACAACTTTTATATAATTTATGATTTTATACAAAATAGTTAAATTATTAATTTCAATATAATGTTAAATGGTTAAATTAAATCAAAAAATTAGTTAAACTTGAAAAAAATCTAGAGACTGTTTTATAAATAGTTAAAAATTATAATTTATAGTGTTTAACCTAAATTAACAAAAAAAAAAAAAACCAACAAATTATTTTTTATAATCCTTAAGAATTTTCAAATAAGTAGCTTAAAAATAACTTACAATAAGAATTGTTAAAAGTAATATTATATAAAAAAATTATAATGCTATCTTTAAAAACAAAAACAATTTTTATTGTTTTAAATAATTACAATTAAAAAAATTAACAATATTCATCAAATAAATTTTTAAAAAGTTAAATTTCTGAAACCAAATTAAAATAATTAAGAGTTTCCAAATACGTTATTTTAAATAATTTACAACAACAATAGTTAAAAATAACATTATATACAAAAATTATATTGTTACCTCTAAAAACAAAAACAATGTTTGATGTTTTAAATAATTACAATGATAGAAATTAAAATCTTAAGAAAATAAACTTTTTAAAATTAATTAATCATAACAACAACAACTATAAATATCATTAAATCACATATTATATTTAATTTTATTCATGAGTAACCTGCAAGTAGAGACAATTAAGACAACTGAGATTACAAAATTTAAATATGTTTGCATTATCATATAATTCAAAGCAAACAATGTTTATACCAACTTATTATAAGGTTTATTATATAAGAGCTAACAACAACGTCATTAATATATTTAAAAAACATATATTTGTAAAAATTTCAAATATATTGCTGTATTCTGTGCAACACACGGGTATTCGTCTAGTTATATAATAGAACTAGGTTACAATCCATAGGAACCACGATTAAAATAGTTTTAGATTTTTTATTAAATTAAATAGATTAAAGTTTTTTTAAGTCTTTTGTTATGATTATTTAATATATATATATATATATATATATATATATATATATATATATATATATATATATATATATTCGATATACGTTATGTATGTGAAAATATTTAATACAATTATGATTTATAAAACTGAATATAAATTTGAATAGAGTTTAAAGAAAAACACAATCAATAATAAAAATGACATTGATATCCGAAAAATTAAATTTAACAGAAATGTAATAGAAATAAATAAAAAACACAATAATTCGAAATTAAAAACTACGAATCGTTTGTAAATTTTAAAAACTTCCTTATACACAACATTGAAAGTTTTGATTGTAAGTCTATCATCCTTATCTAAAATTAACAATTTCAGTTCTTCTCTACTTTGAACTCTAGATAAGGCAACATACAACTGTCCATGTGAAAAAAACAGGATCTTTGAGATATATACCAACCTTCGATAACGAATACCTTTGACTATTATTAATTGTAACGCCCCGATTCCAGGTATGGATTTAAATAAAAGGTCATTTGGTTTTAAGTCCTACTCGACGAGTTGGTTGCCCTACTCGTCGAGTAGCAGCGGACTTGATACGCGTGTTTAGTGACCTACTCGCCGAGTCCATTAAGGAACTCGACGAGTAGGAGCTGGCAGATGAAACCCTCAATTCCGGGGTCTTGCACCCTATTTAATGAATCATACGCCTCCTTTTGCCTCTTTGCAGTCCATTGAGAGTCCAGAAGAACCCTATCTTGAGTGTGTGTGTATTCTTTGGAAGTTTGAGCTTGGAGGAAGATCCTTGGTGAGGGAATCTCTTGGGAAGCAAGATAGTTGAAGCAAGAGTTTGTGGGATTCAAGTTCTGCATCAGAAAAGGGCTCTCTTGAAGGTATTCAATCGTTTTCCCTTGGCTCATTCTCTTCTAAACCCCTTTTGTGCATAAGTTCAGAAAAGGATTATTGTGTTTAAGCCAAGATCTGAAGTTGTAACTTCAGATCTGGACTCCCCTTGGCTTCTTGATTCATAAAGCCATCAACCTTGTCTAGTATGAGCCTTCTCTCAAGGATGTGACTTCATTGCAAGCTTAGTTGTGCCATTTTAGGGTCTTAAAGCCTTGCATGCACGTAAAGTTTGCAACTTACGTGATAAGCATGCCTAAGGAAGTTGGATCTGCAATTTGGGGCCTTGGAATGACTTAGAAAGTGTCTGCATGGATAAAGGACTGAAGAGACTCGGCGAGTCGCAAAGTCGACTCGGCGAGTCATATGAAGATAGGCATTGAACTCGACGAGTTGGATGAACAACTCGGCGAGTCTGATGAAGATCGCCGTAGACTCGACGAGTTGGATGAACAACTCGCTGAGTCGGATGAGTTTCTCCAGGATATGTATAAGTGTGTATCCGTCGAGTTGCAAGAAGGACACTCGACGGGTGGCCTTAAAGTTTGATCAAGAATCGGAGGAACTCGACGAGTCACCTCGATGACTCGGCGAGTTGGAAAGGAACTCGGCGAGTAGCCGAGGGTACTCGGCGAGTTGAGGTCAACATGGACTGTTGATCTTGACTGAGGACTTTGACTTTGACCAGGAGTTGACTAGTGGGTTATGGAGTACCCTATAAGGTTAAGGACTTATGAGTTTATTGTGCTATGGTAATAGGTGGTGGAGCCTGTGTCAAGTGATTCTAGAGTTGGGTTTTATCTACCGAGTCGACATCTGCGAGGTGAGTTATCCTCACTATATCGATAGGGTCTTAGGCACCAAGGCCGGCCCTTTAGTTGTTATCGTTATGGTATGTTACATGTGGATATGATCTGTTAGATCGGAATCAGGATAGACAGTATGTTATGCTTTTATGATCCGTAGGGATGAATATGCTAGTGATCTGCTAGGTCAGTGCTATAGTTATGAGTGATTGCTATGATTGGTGACTAGTGAGATAGAAATGTTTGTTGAATGTATATGCCAGTATATGTTAGTTATGCGCACATAATTATATGCTTGTTGCTTGGGTTGAGGCGATCATGCTTTGTGCTGAAGGCCAATACACCCTATGAGCGGTCCGGGGAGACTGTAGGCCCATGTGGCGGCCCAGTCATACTGAAGGCTCGGTATAGATTCAGTTGGACTGTAGGCCCGGTAGGGCGGTCCAGTCAGGCCGATGACCCAGTATGCATGTTGGTTGATTGATTATTATGGACATGGTATTATCAGTATGGTATTGGTATTTTGGGGGTAGCTCACTAAGCCCTTGGGCTTACAGTTTTCAGTTATTGTTTCAGGTACTTCAGGAGTTCATGGCAAGGCAAAGGCGTGACCGTACCGCTCCTCATCCTTATGATCTGGCTTTTGAGACACTCTGATTGAATAATGAACTGAAAACACTTTTGTAAACAAATACTATTTGGTTTTATTATGTTTGAAAAGTTAAAATTTGGTGTAAAATTTATGGATGTTACATTAATTGTCATTGCAAAACATTAACTAATGGAAATTGTTTTCTTTGAAATTTGAATGAGATTTTTTTTTTTCAAAATGACTTAAAGACATTCTTGGAATAAAAGTTCGGTTTCCAATATAACTTCCAGATATGATAACTGCCTCAATAACCCGTTTGCCTAAAGATTTGACTTGTAGTCTAGTGCCGTTACATAAGCCATTTTTCTGAACATTCTTTCTCGGTAACATAAATGGAACACCGACTTTTAAAATTACCTTATGATTTGGCAAACCTGATACTTTAAGACCAATTAAAACATATGGGGAGTATAAATTGACATTAAATTGATCATGAACGAACTCGGATTGGTAGATACTATCTGAACTTAAATATTTTACTTCGTCTTCTGGAAACAATGATAACAAACGATCATTTATTTGTTGGACAACTTCATTTTTTTGAGCAAGTATTGCTCTTTCTTGAAAATAAAATGTAACGTTGAAGTTTTTCAAAATCGAATGATATACAAACTCGATTAATGAACCTATATGATCATGTGGATCATTATTGAGAATATCATCCGGAACATCAATAATCGCTTCACCATCGTTCGAACCACCAACGTTTCCTTCTCCTATGTCTAAAAGCCAGATTGCAAAATCCTTTATTTTTCGAATATCAGATAGATCCCTTCCAACAGTTAGCCTCATGTATATAGTTAATCTATGAACTTTGCATTGTTGTCATATATATGAAAAACTTAAAGAAACCTTTAACGATGTTTTGTCTACTACCTCATGAAACAACCGGTTGAATTTGTCTGAAGTCTCCTCCAAAAACAACCGGTTTCCCTCCAAATGAAATATTTGAGTTGCTAGAATTGTCAAACCTTAATACATCTTTCAAAGTTCGATCTAAAGCTTCAAATGCATCCTTGTGGACCATAGGTGCTTCATCCCAAATAATCAATGAGGTTTTTCTCATTAATCTGCCGAGTTCACCATCAGGTGGTATCCTACAAATAGAACCCTCAAAATATTCAAAGGAATTATAAACCGGGAGTATGCCGTCCTTCCTCTAGTCAATAGTAACGAATCAATACCACTTGAAGCAACATTTAAAACTATCTCACCATTACATCTAATTGTTGCCGATATTGTCTTCCAAAGAATGGTTTTACCCATTCCACCACATCCATACACAAAGAACACACCTCCTTTCTTATCCTTGACTATAGTCATGAGATCAAGAAAAATATTGTCACTCGTTTGTTAATGCAAAAAACAGACGACCAGACTCTTTCTTTAAAATTGATATGTCATAGTCTAGCTCCTCCGAGATAAGACGGTTGTTTGAAGAAGAAACAAAATCAACATCCGGGTAAGGCATCTTTTTATAATTTTTAAGATTGGAGTTGTTACGAAGTAAAATTTATTCGATCTCGAACAAAGTTAGGTTCATAAGTAGATCTTCATTGAGTGATAAACATGTACAATGACCAATATTTTAAATACAATATAATATTAAACATTTTAATTGGTAATAAAAAATTATACCACACATATTGAAAATATATAGTATATGTTTTTACAAATAATGATAGAAATTTTAATACATGAAAAGTTTAATCTAAGTTGTTGGTTGGAAAGAATACCACCTGACAAGTATTGTCATGTATTTTCCCAAACAAACTTTGGTTTACACAAAATGTTAGACAGTACCGTAGATAAAAACCAGTTCCTAAATAACTTGCTTCCTTAATTGCATTGACGTTATCTAAGAGGTCCAAAGCATAACATGCATCTCTAAAAGAAGAAAATGTTTCACCATTTATTGTGCAAATTTCTTCAAATGATTTTGGACCTTTCATTTTATTTAAAAGAATCCTTAAGAAGTATGCTTTGCCAAGATTAGGTGAAACCGAGTGAATTCTTCCAATCGAACGTCCAATTTTCCTTGGCTTCCAAAACCTACCATTAGGTTTCCATACAAACTTTGTAGGAAATTCAACATATTTTAGTTTTCATGCATCTTTATTAATTTTATTAAATTCCATCCAAGATGTGAACATAGAAGTAGCAACTGAAGGTTTTTCAAGAAGATTATCAATATCATCGTCTGCAGCATATATGACTTGTTGATCAGGAAGATGAAAATGTAGTTTAATCACAGAAGGATACTAGTAATGAACATCATATCTAAATATTCGTCATGATGCTTCACATGCAAATATATATCTACAATCATAATAATCTTTTATTTCATTTACAACATTGTTGTTATCTGAATCATTGTTGCCTTGTACGACAACAATTGTAGCTCTATATGGACCCTTGTTTATCTATTTGAATATATACTTTATGGAAGATCCCTGATTGCACCATTCAACATTAATGTGTGCTTGATATGTTTTCAATAGATATTTGTTTTACGGAACAACATTTCTGTTGTCTAACTTGACACCGAATTTTTCAACAAAATATCCATTGTTTCTTCTCATATATAATGGATAATCGTTGGCATCAACTGAATAATGATTACAAAATTGCTTTGGAAAAATTTTCAAACATTTTTTTGTCAACCATGCATGGGAAATTTATATTTTCAACTCCACAAGGATCATGGATCATGAATTCGCTCACATGTGAATACAATTTTGGATCTTCATTGATGTTTGGAATCTCAGCGGAAATAATCGGATCAATATATTCAACAGTAGGCCGCTTGGAGTCGGCATGCATAAACATACAAATATGACTGTGAAGCAAACCTTTTTTTTGAAATTCAATCGTATAGACCACTACAAATTAATTTTGAGAAATAACATATGATTTGTATTAGATGAAATATATTTAGCAAATAATAAAAAATGTCAATAAAAAAATATATTTTAATAAAATAAATGAATGTATTAAACTACAACTTTATATATCTGCTTGAACATACCGAAAATTTCATTTTCCCTTATGTCTTTAATAAAAGTATCAAGCTTTATCTTAAACAACGTACATAAGTTATCAGGTCTATCTTATGGATGATGTGAAGCGTTGTGAATAAACCTTTCAACTTTAGGCCATTTTGAATTACATGTAAAGGTTATGAAGAAATCATGATATCCAAACCATTTACATAACAGCATGACATCCAAGTAGTTTTGCATCATATAACGTGCACCACCAGTGAATGAAGAAGATTAGATAACGCGTTGTCCGACATTGAATATATCTTTATTCCCAGAACCTTGTTGATTAAGTAAATTCTCATAAGACTTGCATCTAAGAATTTGTTGTGGTTTCCTTATGTATTCTCTAGTATTTAGGCCTCTTGTAATTGGTTATGGGCCTTATATGCGCTACAAAAGCTTCATAACTTATGTAACCGGGCCTTTATAACGACTAATATGGTCCTAGCCTTTTTTTGGAATGTTTAGATATATGATTATATAATAGAATTTTTTAACCGAGTTTTTTTAACGGTGTCCATTTTGAAAAATGGTATAACTGGTCGGACATTTTTTCACTGTAAAATGCCGTGGGCCGGGCTGGGCCCTTATCGTTTTGACCACTTCTACTCTAAAGATAAATTTTATGTGGAATCTTGCATAAATCCTTTGAATAAAAGACACCATATGACAAATTTCCTATAATAGTAGTTTGAACTTTCAAATATTCTATAGAATACGACAAAGTCGATACCATTTTTATTAAAAAGAAATGGTTAGGTAGTCGGGGAAACCATAAAAAACATAAGAAGAACTAAATCAACTTAAATTATTAATTAATCCTACAACAAAACAAACTGCCGTCTCCTTTACATACTCAAACCCATATAAACCAATCAAATCATCCTAAACAATTTCTTTCAACTTTCTCATTTTGTTCTCTAGATCCCAAATCAACCAATAACACACAACATAACCATATGTTTATCCATTTTTTCACAAATAATCATAAATAACCTTTATATTATAAACAATAAAACACCATATCGTCCAAAAAACAGCACATCCACCTCATCTTGATTATGCCTTTCACTATCTACTTCCCATATAACACCAACCCTCTAAATTATTTATACTAAACCTCCTCGAATCACACATAATATCACATTTCTTGTTCTTTCTTGTTTGAGAAATTAGATCAAAATGATCAAGCAAGACACTTTATTCTTACCTTATTTTCCTCCCAACATAAACCCTAATCAAGAAACGATGTCGTTTGGTGAACCAGACCCAAATTCAAGCTCTGATCATATATCAGATTGGTTAGAAGATTCAATATCGTATCTTCCATCGTTCTTGGATGACCCATATGATTCCAACAATCTCATTGACGATGCTTGGTGGGTACCTGTTCAAGAACTTGAACAACAACTCTTTAGTGGGCCCGGGCCCACAAGTAGTAGCATTCTTACTTCAAACTCTGACACTAGTACTACAACAACGGCGACACCCGCCATTGTTTCCGATCAAGAAAACCAGTTGAGGTCTGATTTATCCAAGAAACGGAAAGCGCCGGAGGAATTGAGGACTACCGTGCAAGTTAAGAAGCCGGTAAACAAGAGGGGAAACGGGAAAACGACAAAAGATGGTGGTAATGTTAAGAATAAAGACGGGAGGTGGGCGGAGCAGTTGCTTAACCCCTGTGCCGCTGCAATCACCGCCGGAAACGTGACACGTGTCCGGCACCTCCTGTTCGTCCTCCGTGAACTGGCGTCGCTGACCGGAGATGCTAACTACAGACTCGCGGCTCATGGACTTCAAGCCTTAACCCATCATCTCTCTTCTGCCAACAATCGCCCTGTTAAGGTGGCAGTGCCGCCTGTTAATTTCTCCACATCGAAACCGAGATTCTTTCAGCTATCTCTGATTAATTTCAACGATATCAATCCTTGGTTCACAATACCGAATAACATCGCGAATAACTCCATACTTCAGGTCTTATCGGAGTGCGACCATGGCTCCGGTAACCTCCATATTCTTGATATCGGAGTCTCTCATGGAGTTCAATGGCCGACGTTGCTAGAAGCTTTGAGTCGCCGGCCAGGTGGGCCGCCGCCATTGGTTCGACTCACGGTGGTGCCCCCAACTCCCGATGACCATCAAATTCCTTTTGCAAACAGCCCACCTGGTTACAATTTCATCTCAAACATTCTCCGTTTTGCGAACGAATACAAAATTAACCTACACATCAACCGAATTGACAATTGCCCACTACAAAATCTAAACGCCAACATCATCAAATCATCCCCAAATGAAACCCTAATTGTCTGCACCCAATTTAGACTTCACAATGTAAACCACAACAATCCAGATAACAGAACAGAGTTTTTGAAACAGATTCGAAGTTTGGAGCCTAAAGGAGTGATTTTAAGCGACAACAACATGGATTGCAGTTGCAAAAGTTGCAACAACTTCGAGATAGGATTTGCGAAGAGGGTTGATTACTTATGGAGCTTTTTGGATTCAACAAGTGTGGCGTTTAAAGGGAGAGAAACAGAAGAAAGAAAACTGATGGAAGGAGAGGCTTCAAAGGCGTTGATTAACGTTTGTGAAATGAATGAAAGAAAAGAGAAGTGGGGAGAGAGGATGAGAGGTGTAGGGTTTGTAGGGGATGTTTTTAGGGAAGATGTTATGGATGGAGCTCGATCTTTGTTGAGGAAGTATGATAATAACTGGGAACTGAGAACTGATGAGAGTGATACATGTGTGGGGTTATGGTGGAAAGGTCAACCTGTTTCGTTTTGTTCTCTATGGAAATTAGATGTAAACACTAGTGATAACTAGAATCATAAAGAGATTAGTCTAAATTGATGTATTTTGTATCGGTTTTCTCTTCTTTTTTTGTGAAGATCTCAGGGAGACCTAAACACGAAAGGATGTTTTTATTATGCTTCTTTACGGATTTTAGTTTTGTGGTTTGTTGTGTGAAATTTGTTTATCTTTCTTCCATGATTGATGAATATTCTTGTATGGGAACAACCTATGAAATCAAATTTGCCAAAAGAAAAGAATTTTCGATCAAAGAACAAGGCGGAAAAAATATTGATTTGGTTTGACGAGATAGAGGTTGTAATTGATTGTTGAGCTTGAGAGTTTGATTCTCTTTTTGACTTTATTGACGTTATGGAAACGAATCATGGGTCCCGTTGAAACCGCAGCTTCGGGAACTCCCCGAAGATCCACTCGAGAAAGTAGACCTTCAATCAAATACTCTCTATCAGCAAATTACTTGTTACTTGTGGATGATAAGTTGAACTTACTTGAAAATAACAAGACTTGGTCATTGTTACCAACAAGGAAAGGGACACTTTAGAACAAGTGGGTATTTAGGGTCAAAGATGAGAATGATGGAAGAAAGATGTACAAGACCATATTGGTGGAAAAGGTTCCAATAGAAGGCCAGAACTAATCAGAATGAAATTTTCTCATAAGTTGTGCAGATGACCACAAACATAACGGTTCTTAAAATTGTCGTTGTGGAATATTTACATCTAGAGCAGTTGTGTGTGAAAACGACATTCTTGCATGGTGACCTTGATGAAGATGCACACATGGCACAATCAAAAGGTTTTTCAAAAAGATGGAAAGGAAACCTTGGTGTGCAAATTGGAGGATAGCATGTATATACTAAAGTAAGCTCCAAGGCAGAGGTACTTGAAGCTTCATGATTTCATGAAGATCAGTAGGTACACGAGATGTGACAATTGATAATTGTTGCTACTTGAAGGATGAGATTGATGGAAGGAAGAGGTACAAGGTCAAAAAAGTTTTAAAAAAAGTTAGAAAAATCGAAGAGACGTTTTGTGCCTTTTTATCCACGTTGCGTCAAAGGAAACATCGAAAATCAAAAAACTCGTATTTATCATATACTTCGTGACACCTTATATGTGCGCCACACCCTTTTTACTAGGTGATACCTTTTTAACCCTAATTAATTTCACTATCACACACCAAAACACACACGCGACATGGCTTTGACGATTTTCCCCCGAGTTTTGATTTTTTTTATTTGTTTTGTGTAATTGACTGAGAAGGTACCAATTTCTAACCTTACTACCTTGCATTGCTTGATTATTATTTAGATTTGTGAAATTTGGGTGTATTCATACAACCTAGGGTTTCGTTCAATTTGGGGTAGATTTAAATTGTTATATGTTAAATTGATGTGATGGATTACTTGTATTTACTCGTGTAATAAAACCCTTTGAGTGATTGCTGGATAAAATTGATTGTAATGGCTCGACTAGACCACTTAGACATTCGAAGGGCGCAGCACGCCTAAAGAATAGGCAGAAAATTTGGATTTTTGTTCTTCGATTATGATGGTTGTGTGTTGACAAATTGTTTTAGGTTGTCCCAATTTGCGATATGTAGTACAACAATATGTATCGGGATGATTAAGCAAAAAACTAAATTCTTGCTATTTTTGAAATTGTTTGGTTTAATTCTTGTCTGCTTTCATGATGGATAACACCTAGAGTTTAGTGACAACATCCCTGCAGCTTCCACACATTTGGCCAACATAAAACTCATACCTTCAGTTTCTAAATAATATTTCAGCAAGTGGCCTAAACAAATATTTTGGAAAGATGATTGGATTGTTATCCAAATGATTCAACGTGGCAAAAACAATGAAGTGGGAATTAATTGAGGAGCTTGGTTTGACATATCAACTCAACCTATACCTTTCACAAGTATTCCATGATGAGAGTAGGGGTACATTTATTCACATGCCATGGTGGCAACACATTGTCCGAGTTAGCGAGACCATTTATCAGGAGTTATGTTGGGAGTTTTATTCCACGGTTGATTATGATGCTACATCCCAGGAGTGTCCCGACCGGTCCAAATATACTTTTAGATTGGGTGGAGTGCGACTGACTTACAGTATCATAGAGTTAGGATTCAGATTAGGTATTTACATAGGAGATGAGGTGGATGGCCCGCATTTTCATACTTATTACAGAGTTGCATTACCTCACACCCAGTTGAGTACAAATGGACAGATGTATTGTGCATGCCAATGGACCTTATATGGCCAAACATGCCAAGGACTGTAGCTTTGGATCGTCTTTCATCAGATTGCTCTACATGTTTATCGGCATTACCGTTTCCCACAAATATAAGCGAGATAACGTGCTTATTGGGGATTTATTTTACATGTGGTGCCTCATCAATCCATAGGTCTATTCAGCAGCAAGCAACACCAAATCCTATACCCCAACCATATAGACAACAGAGACGTAGACCTACTCCAGCAGCAACATATCAGGGACCCGAGGTTAATATTGACTGGAGATTTTTGTCACAACAGATGACAGAGATACAACATGGACATACAGACTCAAGGGCAAAGATTCATGATGTTTGGTTTCAGAACCAGTGGATAGGCAATGTCATGACTGCATTCTTTAGTCACCATAAATTCAATTATCCTCCATTCCTACAGTTGGTTGATGGAGCTGTGACATCGCAACAGTAGGAGGACGATGATGATGAGTGATCATGTTATCCTTTTTAGTTTATTTTGGTTTGCTAGTACATTATGTTATTAGTATTTGGTGTGTTAGTATTTTTAGTATTTTTAATTTTTGGTTTGTTCTATTTTATTTTCTGTAATTTTGTTTTCCCTGTTCATGCTTTTTAATGTTTTAATTCTTTACAGAATTTTTGCCCATAGGATGTTGGCAATATATTCAACGATTAGGACTGAGTGCGATTTCATCACAATAGATCTTTTACAAGAGGTGTTGCATCAAATAAGTGTGGGTTCGCCTACTTACACGAGAGTCGGGCTGGGGCTTCATTAAAAGCCATTATTGATATGAGAGGGAAGAGAATATATGAGAGGCAAGACGAGTGTCCAGTCCACATGATTCGAGTTGAGTTTTAATCGCGAAGAATTTCAATGTTCAGTATTCGCGACACGTAACATGCATATGTGAATCGCAACAATATCTAAAATTGCAGTCAGAGTTCCCGTACTTACAAAGACGTGTTGCGCTCCTCCATATGGCGTGTCATGCCTGTCCTCATCCCATATTACTTCATTTTCTGTTCTATGATGTTTTTGCCAACTATTTCGCGCACCGAGTGCCAACACGGGTGGAAAGAATCATCAGAATCCAGAGGAGTCTATTCCATCTAATTCAGAAGCTACATCATTCCAACATGAGTTTTTGAAGCAACCCGTGACAATCGGATTCGATCTCACTACTACTATCCCACAAGAGTCTGTTCCATTTATCCCTTAACTTTTATGTGCTTTAACTTTATTTATGCATACAACGAGGGAATTGTATGAAATAAGTATGGGGTAGGGGTCGAAATAGGAAAATACATGCTAAATGAAATTTTAGATATAAATAAAAAATTTAACTTTGATAAAGTAGCATTGAAAATGAAGTTTATTAGTGTTATATAGGATAATTTAAAAAGAATCCTAAGATTTTATTTGGCTGATATGTTATAGTATATATGTGGCTTTCTAGTTTTTGGTGAAATCATGAGCCAAAAATGTAAACTTATGTTGTTTGAGGGATACAATATGTTTTGCACTGTTTGCTAAAATAAACCCTTGAAAATTTATATTAGTTATTAAATATGATCAAATTTTATCCAATATAGGTTGAGTTAAGTTTTTAAGCATTTTTCTAGATATATATTATTATTTTTCGGTTACATACATAGGTTAAGAGTAGAATTGATCTATGACCTTTAAGTTTGGCCAGTACCCCATGCGGGATGTTTTACCTTTGTCCACCTGACATACATTAACTTCGATCAGATCGGGAATAATAGTGCTACATGGGCTTTATCGAAAGTCATGTGTTCTACAATAGTTATTAAGTCTATTTATTTTAGTTATATGTGTCTAAGAATAAGAGTGAAAAAAGTGAAAATTGAAAATTGAAAATGGTGAAAAGTTGAAAAAGTAAAAAAAGAGTTGTCTAAAAGCCAAAGTTATGAGTCAATAAGAGATTGTAAGTATGAAATCGTGAAAAAGTAAAGAATTAAGGCTTTAGCCAAAAGTTGCAAGAACAAGTTGCAAAGTTGAAGAGTTTTTAGGATTTTTTTTTCTTTATTATTTTGATTTTTTTTAATTGAGTCTAGAAGCTCTGGAACATGGAAAACACACCTTGAGGTTAGGGAATTTATAAAGGTTATATTCAAAGGGATATAAAAATGAGTATTGTTCAAACTGAGTGGTGAGAATTTATGAAGTTTTGTGAGTATTTAAAACTTGGAAAGTTATTAGGATTAGACACAAATATACACATTGAAGCTAGACATAAGTGTTGTGTTTGAATAGGGTTATCTTGTGTAATATTGGTAAATAAGGTTTTGGTGTAATGACATTGAAGTCGAATTACGATTATAACCTGAATTTATTTCTTGTTTTCTTGGATAAAGCAAAGTATAAGTGTCAGATATTTTGATAAAGTATGTTATATATATATTTTCGACATTAACTTATTATTTTATGTTATGTTTAGATGATACTTAGAACAAAAGGTTCTTAACATGCTTTGAATTATTATTTTACAGGTTATATACGCTGTTGGAGCAAACAGAAGCTAATTGGATAGAAACGGAGCTTGATCGAAAGAAGATGGAAAATATGTTGAAAGATTCTAGAGGTGTCACACCTCACTAATAAACGTGTTGTGTCCCCGAATGGATAACTATAACATCCCAAAAAAATCATGAATAAAAATTTCATTTTTAAGTCAACCAAAATCCATCAAATATTCATATCAATCATAAAAGTATGCCAATGTGAA